TTCTCTGTAAAAGGCCAGATAGTAATTATTTTAAGTTTTGCTAGACTAAATACTTTTACTTAGTTGCAACTACTCCATTGCCATTGTAGCATGAAAACAAAGACAAAATGCAAATAAATGGGTATGGTTGTGTTCCGGTAAAATTTTATTTACTAAAAGAGGCAGCAGGCCAAATTTTGCTTGAGGGCTGTAGTTGGCTGATTCCTGCCCAATGAGACAGAAAAATTATCTTATTTAAAAGGTGACAAGCTAGCTAAGTGGCTAGCTCACTGTATAGATATTTAAATTATTTTCTAGTTCTTTGGCTTGACTTCATAGTTCATAGAAAATATTTACTGTATACACCTGAAATTACCCCAACATTGCAGTGGTGTGCTAGTAAATGTTTAGCTGGTTGTCTCAGAGGATACAAAAAGTTTGGATGTTTAGTTTACCAATGTATGGCTTCTGTGGTAGAGGCACTCCTCACGTGGCCAGTTTCAAGCCACCAGTATGATATCACTGAACGTGGCATGGGGATGAGAGGCAGCAGATGCTGATTTGAACATACCGCTGTCTGCAGGCATGTATCCATTTGTATCCTCTTGGCCGAAGTAACAGACATCTCAACTAGTTCCGACAATAAGTCAAATGTGTTATGTTACCTAACGAGCTAGATAGGGTGGCTCCAGAATTGGTTAGTTTAGTGGCTCAGTGACATCATTAAGGTTCCAGGTTCTTTTCATCTTTCTGCTGTGCCTGCAAGACGGCTTATTGACTTTGTCTTCAGGCCAGCTTCCTTCATGGTGAGGAAGTGACGGCTGTAGTTCCAGGTGTCATATCCAGATTCAAAATGTCTGTAGGAAGAAGCAGGGCTTGTTTCTTTCCTGTGTCTTTTCTTAAGAGCAAGGAAATCTTTTCCAAAGGACTTTCCCTCATAGTTCATTGGCTGGAATTGCTTCACCTCCTAGCCCCTAAGCACTTACTGACAAGGGAAAGGGAGACCAATCAAAAGCCATTCCCTGAAACAATGGATTGGGCCACCCTTCCCTGAAGCAAATGGCTGCTGGAGAGAGAGCAGATAGAGTAGGATCCTGAACCCAGCCAGGGCTATGATAGAATGGAGGAGCGGGGGGCTGTGGATTGGGGGCAGGCAACCAGCTCTGTCTGCTGCAGTAGGCTGTGTATATTAAAGTGAAAATACAAGTATGGTAGATCTTTTAGATGAGTTTTTCTCTGAGTGTTTAATATTGGGGAGGAAAGTAGTTGACTATTAAAAGTAACCTACCCATGACTTCCCTGGTGGTCCAGTGGCTAGAACTCCACGCTTCCACTGCAGGGGGTGTGGGTTGGATCCCTGGTCAAGGAACAAATATCCCGCATGCTGCATGGTGTGGCCAAAAAAAGTAACTTACCCATGGCACAAAGTTTTATTTTGGAGGGACTGGCCCTGAAGCTCCAGAGTGTTGGAGACTCCTCTGGTTGTTTTGAAATCAGGGAGAGTTCCCTAGCTGATCAAGTCAGTGACCTTAGGCATGTTTCAGGGAAATGCCAATGGTACCATTTAGAGAACTGTATTTCTAGCTGCATCAGGCTGCAATTAATGTCCTACTGGTGCGCCTTCAGCGAGAATTATATGCGTATGATTAGGTTAAAATGTATATGAATTTACATCAAGGAATAAGGAAAAGTAGCGGAGGTGGTATAGGGCATTGGTTAGGAAAAGTAAGACTAGGGTTCATATCCCATTTCTGCTCCTTGGTAGTGATAATAATAATTAGGAAAATTACTGCATCTCTCTAGTCTGAGTTACGGTATCTGTAAACTAGGGATAATAATACCTACCATCTATGGTTGTTGTAAGGAATCAATGAGATACTGTCTATAACGCTGCTTCATAGCAATGTGGCCTATGGATGGTCTGAAAAGCTACCTCCATATTGTTGTTTTCACTTAGCCCAGTGTTTTGGCTGTGACTCTGTCCCTAGGCCAGTGATTAGCAATATTACCATTTCAAATAATAATTTTGACCTTCTGTCAATCAGTAGGCTTAATATTTGTATCAATACTGCTCTTCTAATACTTCTGATGGATTTATACTCTCCAGCCATTCACTCCATCTCCTTTGTCAGTCTCCCCACATTCACAGGATGGCCAATTAAGGTGAAGAGGGAGGCCCTTCCAGGTCTTGAAACCTAAGTGGTCTACGTGGAGTCACTCTTGTTGCCTTTGACTCACTATCTTTGCTCTGCATTTGTTCTCTGAACTCACAGGCTGCCAATTTGTTCCCGTGGCTTCAAAGATGAACGCCTGCAAGGTTATACTATGAGCCATTTTCTTGAGAAAGTCATGGTTTTAAAGTAAAGTTTTCTTTGTTAGACAGTTTGGTTTGTCCATGATTTACCAGGTGGTGCATGATCTGTGGTCACCAAACAATGCACGCTTAGTCATATTTGAAATGATGTTTCATTTATTTATTTATAAAGAGCAGATCTTTTTTTTTTAATATTCATTTTATTTATTTATTTATTTGGCTGCGCTGGGTCTTAGTTGCAGCATGCAAGCTCTTAGTTGCAGCATGCGGGATCTAGTTCCCTGATCAGGGATCAAACCTGGGCCCCCTGCATTGGGAGCGCAGAGTCTTAGCCACTGGACCACCAGGGAAGTCCCTGATGTTTCATTTAATTAATATTATTTAAAATTTCTTCTGGTGCTCATTATAAAATTGTACCGCAAATTGAGTGATTGGCTCAATCCAGTGGAAAAATCACCTGTTAAAACTATGATTTAGTCTCTTAAAAAATTCATCCCTAACTGTAATTAAGAAGCTTGATTGACATGCCAAAGTACACCATAAGAAACACTTGATCTCACAGTTCTTGTGGGACCACATTCAGGCCGCGCTTAGTTGGGCCTGGCTGGCTTGGCTCAGGGTCTCACAAAGCTGCAGTCAAAGTGTCAGCCAGAGTGTGTTCTCAACTGGAGGCTCAACTAGGGAAAAAATGTGCTTCCAAGCTCACTTGGCATGTTGGCAGAATTCATTTCCTTCTGTTGTAGGACTGAGAGCTTTAGCTTTTTGCTGTCACTTTAGCTTTTTGAGGCTGTCCTCAGCTCCTACTGGCTACCCATGGTTCCCTGCCATGTGGCCTTCTCCATGGCAGTGTGCAACATGGCAGCCTGCTTCTTCAAGGCCAGCAGGAGTGAGAGTCGGCTAGCAAGGCTGAGTCTTATTCAGCATGACCTAATCATGGGAGTCATGTGCCATCACCTGTGCCATATTCTGGTTAGAAGCAAGTCACAGGTCCCACCCACACTCAGTGGAAGGGATTACACAAAGACAAGAACAACAGGATGTGAGACCTTGGGGTAGCTTAGAAACTGTCCTGCCACAAGGAGCTGTGTGTGTCTTGCTTATCACTGAATCCTCGGTGCCCAGAATAATGCCTAACACACATTAGATGCTCCCTAAGTGTTGGTAGCTGAATGAACTAATGTTGCAGATATTACTTCTTTGAATCATGTGTTGCTTATTTTTTTTCCCCAAGTCCATGGTTTACCTTTTGGTCTTATTTATTACATGTTTTGGTTGTATACACATGTTAAATTTTAATTTAGACAAATCAACAACATTTTCCCTTGGTTTGTTAACATTACTTTACATCTCAGGGAGTCCTTTTCCCATCCAGAGGTTAGATAATTATTTGCATATGTTTTCTCCTAGATTTTAAATGACTTCTTTTTTACATTTAACTCTGATCTATCTAGAAGGTTAAGAACTAAATGGAGGGACTTCCCTGGCGGTGCAGTGGTTGAGAGTCCGCCTGCCAATGCAGGGGACACGGGTTCGAGCCCTGGTCCAGGAAGATTCCACATGCCGCGGAGCAACTAAGCCCATGCGCCACAACTACTGAGCCTGTGCTCTAGAGCCCGCAATCCACAAGAACTGAGCCCATGCACCACAACTACTGAAGCCCACGTGCCCTGGAGCCCATGCTCCACTGCTGTGAGAAGCACATGCATCGCAACGAAGAGTAGCCCCCGCTCGCTGCAACTAGAGAAAGCCCGCACACAGCAACGAAGACCCAGTGCAGCCAAAAATAAATAAAATAAATAAGTTTATTTTTTAAAAAAAGGAATTAAATGGAGAGTTGTAACGGGAGGTAGCAAATAATCCTTTTTTTCCCCATCCCTCTTTGCTACCTTATTTAGTTGTATTGAATTATTATGTGCTAGCTTCTGGGCTTTCTATTCTGTTTCACTTATTTTTCATTCTCTTCTTGCTTCAGTTTTTTCCATCTAAGAATTATAGCGTTCTTGGTCAGAAAGGCCAACGCAGTTACCGTCAGAATCATTCAGTATAATAATTAAGACATAGCCTAAGCTGTTGTAACAGAAAGACTCCAGAATGGAGAGCCTCAAATAAAGCTGAGGCTTATTTACCTTTGGTGTAACAGTGAGGGGTGTGTGAAGTCGGGAGCTGGAGAGGCACCTCTTCCCCACAGAGTGGTTTGAGGACCCAGGCTCCTTCTGTCCTGTAGCTCTGCCAGCCCCTAGGGCGATGTCTGGGCCTGTGTGGTTGGAACTGTCTCATCCCCACATCCACATTCCAGTCTATGGGAAAGGAGGTGGCAGAAGTCTTAAGAAAGTGCCTTTGCCTTTGAGCTGAGGAACCCGAAGTGGCATGTATTATTTTGCTCATATCCCTTTAGTCTAGACTAAACCACGTTGCCACATCTACCTTCAAGGTATGGTATGCAAACTGTCGTCATGGATTTGGCCAAAAGTTGAGAAGATCTGTTATTAAAAAAAGAAGGGGGAGAGGTTCCAAGGACAACTAATGGTCTTTGCACTAGGCCAGTATTCACAGTTAACGAATAATCATATTTAGCAGGAAAGTAATAATCATTTTCACCAAGTGAAAGCTATCTTTGGATATGGCAATAAAATAGAACTATGTCCTGATTTTTGGTTTTAGATGGCCAGTAACCCATGTTCCAGGTAGCACTCTATGCCAGTCTTGAATGCCAACAGGAAATCACTGGACAGCAGACCCTTCCAAGATCATAACTGGGTTGTTGGAGTAACTTGGAAAAGAAGATAAAAGAACTGAAACCATGGCAAAAGTAAATAGAGCTCGGTCTACCTCCCCACCGGATGGAGGATGGGGCTGGATGATTGTGGCTGGCTGTTTCCTTGTTACCATCTGCACCCGGGCAGTAACCAGGTAGGTGGGACTTTCTTCTCGATTTATTATCAGATGACCTGGCTTGTCTTTTTTTCGAAGTCGGCTTCATTCTAGTTCTGAACCTGTCATTGTGAAAATATATGTGTAAATATATGTTTTGTGCGTGTGTGTGTGTTTCCTTTGACTGATCGGATATCTTTTTCTTTGCAAGGCATGTGATTTTCTGACACTTAAAAGTCCTGGATAGTGGTCTCTTATAATCTCTGACACATAAACCTGGAGTGTTAAGGACATTTTTCAGCTAAATATTATGGCTATGCCAGACATTTATTTTCATAAGCAGCTCATTCCACAAAGGACAAATATATAAGCTCAAAATAGTCCTTGAAAACATCTCAGCTCACCAGAATACTGAGCTGTTGGAAGCTTAAAGCCTAGAGTTTAAATTCTTTTGCTTCATTTTACACTTGGCTGTGGTAGTGGAGGCTGATTTCTAGGTTGAAGGAGAGAAAGAGCATAAATACAGGGATTCTCTCATCTCATTTGGTCATGTTTCCTCTTTTCCTTTTACCCAAGGGCATAGCCTTGACTATACTTAAGTTAAACGTGCGTACACTGAGATGCATTCATCTCATTTACATTTGGAATAAAGTCACACTTGAAATCTGCATGTGCTAGCTCTCTCCTCTAGAGGTGCCTTCATTCAAATTGAACTCTGTTGCTCTTCTCTGGCAACACTCCCTTGGCAGCCAAAGAAACGGATTTGCACTACATATCTTCACTTGAAAGCATCATCAATAAAAGCATCGGGCTTCCCTGGTGGCGCAGTGGTTGAGAGTCCACCAGCCGATGCAGGGGACACGGGTTCGTGCCCCGGTCCGGGAGGATCCCACATGCCGCGGAGCTGCTGGGCCCGTGAGCCATGGCCGCTGAGCCTGCGCGTCCGGAGCCTGTGCTCCGTCAATGGGAGAGGCCACAACAGTGAGAGGCCTGCGTACCACAAAAAATAAAAAAATTTAAAAAAATAAAAGCCTCAATGTTCCCCCCATAACAAATAGATAATGCAGGAAAGAAGCAGGATGTTTCTTTTTGCTACAATAAGGATTCGTTGATTATGTGTCAAAATAAACTGTAGATTTGTTTAAAATAATATGATGGTTGAGTCTGATTTTTCTCCCGTCTAGATTATGGATCTTGTGTTCTGGGAGTGAGGAGGTCATAGAGTTAAAAGGCATCTCTTTCATCTTGGTTCCTACATGTGGAAGCTTTCATCATTCCCATGAGAGGAAAGTTCTGGCAGTGAGCTTAGTGCTTCTATAAGAAGGGCAGCTGGGAACCAGAAAAGAGGATTGTGGCTGGCAGCAAAGGCCTGTTTTCAGAGGTTCCTGGGAGAGGCTGAGAGGAGGATACCTGAGCACAATAGGCTCAGAGGAGAAAAGGGTGACACACCAGGAAGCAGCCAAGAGAACTGAAGACAGAGACAAGGAAAGCAGCCTGCACGGTGATTTGTCAATTCAGAGGATCAGTGCCTATTGGGCAGTTAATTCTTTTTCCAGTTTTATTGAGAACTAATTGACATTCATCACTATATAATTTTAAGGCATATACAGCATGATTTTTTTTATTGAAGTATAGTTGATTTACAGTGTTGTGTTAGTTTCTGGTGTACAGCAAAGTGATTCAATTTTTATATGTGTGTGTGTGTGTGTGTGTATATATAACTGAATATATATGTTCTTTTCCATTATGGTTTATTACAGAATATTGAATTTAGTTCCATGTGCTATACATTAGGACCTTGTTGTCTATCTATTTTATATATAATAGTTTGTAAGCATGATGATTTGATTTACATATACTATAGGTTCAGCTAACATCCGTCTTCTCATATAACTACAATAAAAAGGAAAGAAAAGAAAAAAGAAAAAAACTTTTCTCTTCATGATGAGAACTCCTAGGATTTATTCTCTTAACAACTTTCCTATATATCATACAACAGTGTTAGCTGTAGTCATCATATTGTTCATGACATCCCTAGTACTTATTTATCTCATAACTGGAAGTTTGTATTTTTTGACCACCTTCCTCCAATTCCCTTCCCCTCCCCCCCACCGCCTTGGTAACCATAAGTCTGATCTCTTTTTATATGCGCTTGGTTGTTGCTTTAGATTCCACATATGTTTAAGATTATAAAGTATTTGCCTTTCTCTCTCTAACTTATTTCACTTAGCAGAATGCCTTCAAAGTCCGTTCATATTGTTGCAAATGGTAGGATTTCCTCGTTTTTTTTTTCTGGCTGAATAATATTCCATTGTATATACATACCACACCTTCTTTATCCATTCATCCATCCATGTCTTGGCTATTAAAAATCGTGCTGCTATGAGCATGGGGATGCAGATATCTTTTCTAGTTAGTGCTTTCATTTTCTTTGGATCTAGTCCCAACAGTGGAATTTCTGGATCACATGGTAGTTCTATTTGTATCCCTACTGTTTTCTATGGTGGCTGTACCAATTTACAATCCCATCAACAGTGCACAAGGGTTCCCTTTTCTCTGCATCCATACCAGCATTTGTTATCTCTTATCTTTTTGATGGTGATTATTTTAACATGTGTGAGGTAATAGCTCATTGTAGTTTTAACTTGCATTTCCCTAACAACTAGTGATGTTGAGCATCTTTTCATGTACCTGTTGGTCTTTAGTACATCTTCTTTGAAGAAATGTCTATTTAGGTCCTTTGCTCATTTTTTAAATTGGGTTATTTGGTTTTTTACTTTTGAGTTGTGTGCATTCTTGGTATGTTTTGGATATTAACCCTTTATCAGATACGTGGTTTGCAAATTTTTTTCCCATTCTTTTCACTTTGTTGATGGTTTCTTTTGCTGTGCAGAAGCTTTTTAGTTTGATGTAGTCCTGCTTGTTTATTTTTTATTTTGTCGCTTGTGTTTTAGGTGACGTATCCAAGAAATCATTACCAAGACCCATGTTGAGGAACTTTATTCCTATGTTTTCTTCTAGTAGTTTCATAGTTTCGGGTCTTATATTTAATCCTTAAATCCATTTCAAGGTAATTTTTGTGAGTGGTCTAAAATATGGGTCTAGTTTTATTCTTTTACATGTGAATATCCAATTATCTCAGCACTATTTACTGAAGAGACTGTCTTTTCTCCATTGAATATTCTTGGCTCCCTTTTCAAACATTAGTTGATGCTTAGGTTTATTTCTGGGTTCTCAGTTCTGTTCCACTGGTTTATTTGTCTGTTTTTATGCCAGTACCAAACTGTTTTGATGACTACAGCTTTATATTATAGTTAGAAGTCAGGAAGTGTGATACCTCTTTCTTAGGATTTCTTTGGCTATTTAGGGTCATTTGTGGTTCCATATAAATTTTAAGAGTGTTTTATCTACGTCTGTAAAAAATGCCATTGGATTCTTGATAGGAATTGCATTGAATATATAGATGGCTTTTGATAATGTTGACATTTTAATAATGTTAATTCTTCCAGTCCACAAACATGGGATATCTTTCCATTTATTTGTGTCTTCTTCAGTTTCTTTCACTGATGTCTTGTAGTTTTCAGCATGGAGATCTTTCATGCCCTTAGTTAAACTTACTGTATTTGATGCTGTTGTAAATGGGATCAATTTCTTTATTTCTTTTTCAGAAATTTTATTGTTAGTGTATATAAACACTACTGATTTTTGTATGTTCATTTTATATCCAGCAACTTACTGAGTTCATTGATTAGATTTAAGAGCCTTTTGGTTGTGTCTTTAGGATTTTCTATATATAAAATCATATCATCTGAAAATAGAGACAATTTTACTTCTTCCTTTCCAATTCTAATACCTTTTATTAATTTTTCTTGCCTGATTGCCAAGGCTAGGACTTCTAGGACTATGTTGAATAGGAGTGATGAGAGTGGCCACCCTTGTCTTGTTCCTCATTTTAGAAGAAAAGCTTTCAGCCTGACTTATGGCTTTATTGTGCTGAGATATGTTCCTTCCATGCCCAATTTGTTAAGAGTTTTTATCGTAAATGGATGTTGAATTTTGTCAGATGCTTTTTCTGTGTCTATTGAGATGATCATACAATTCATTTCATTCTATTAATATGATGTGTCACATTGATTGGTTTGTGTATGTTGAACCATCCTTGCATCCCAGGAATAAATTCCACTTGAACCTGGTGAATGATCCTCTTAATATGCTGCCAATTCAGTTTACTAGTATTTTATTGAGAATTTTTGCATCTATACTCATCAGGAATATTGGCCTGTAGTTTTCTTTTCTAGTAATGTCCTTTTCTGGTTTTGGTATTAGGATAATGCTAGTCTCATAAAATGAGTTTGGGAGTGTTCCCTTCTCTTTGATTTAAATAATATGCTTAAAAGTTAAACCATACATCTGGAAGGTAAAAATTCAAACAATACAGAAATATATAACATAAAGCCTTTTTCTCCTCACTTCCTGAATCCCTGTTTCACTGCCTAAAGTTAATCTCATAAATAGTTTCTTGAGATCTGTCCAGAAATTTTTTTAAAAACCTTATGTCCATATATAAAGTGTGTTCTTTTCATTTACACCAATGGGATCATATTATACACACTGTTTTGAACTTTTTTTTTTGCTTAAAAATATCTTTTGGAAATATTTCCATATCAGCACATATGGCTCTACCTCACTGAAAGGTAGGTGCTTAAAATTTCACCATATGGATGTTTCCATAATTTATTTAAAACATTTTTATTGATGGATGTTTATATTGCTTGCTGGTTTTTTGCTTTACAGACAATGCTACCATTTATAATCCAGGGCATTTAAAAATCATATTTCACTCTTACCTTGTAACTGATGATGCTTCCTTACACATAAAATTTATATAAGCTTAAAGCTGTGCAGGCTATTAAAGTAGTCATTCTTATTTATTTACTCCCTCTGTTCGTTAATGTGCATTGCTTACATATTTTTTCTTCAAGACATCTTGTTACCAAACACATTATCTATGTTAAGAATCATATTTCAGGACTTCCCTG